AAAAAATGATGTGATTTCTCTCTTGTCATGACCTTAAATGGAGTTTCTTATAAATTACTGATAGTTTCTATTTTCAACCGTTATATATGTATTAAAAATTATCTATTTTAATATTTTTTTAATTTAATAATTAAAAATTAATATTATTAGTAGGTCAGACCTCCATTAAACTAATATGTCAGTAACACTTATAATACTTGCAATACATTTCACCCCACTCTTTTGGTACATTCACAAGTCGATGGCTGCAGCCCGAGGATTAGGATAATGCGTTATAGATTACTCTTTCTGCGCCAATTAATGTGATATTTTTTGAGTTCGTTCAATATAATATTATAGTGTGTTATCGCCATGTGTAACCTAAAAAAAATAATATTGCATTTAATATCTAGAATTTTTTTTTTTTTGGCTGCAATCTAGAATTTTGATCTAAAGATTTAAATCGTGACCCCAATGACTTTTCAAATGAAAAAAAAAAAAAAAAAAGCAAACAATTACAAGCTAACACGGTTAAATATTTTTGTTTATTTTTATGGATAATAAACTTGTACATTCCTTGACACGAAACAAATATATATGTGTGTATGTATGTACATATATAATGCACGAATCTCACACATTCTCAACCCAGAATCCATACGAGTTTTGATTTCCAGTGGTAGCATGTGAATCTATATGATGACTTTAGCCTTTCTAAAATGCATTGATTAGGGTGGAATGAAGGAGAGATTTCCACCTTGGTAAAAGGAGAAAAATTTGCACAAGTTTGTTTAGTAAGGTAGATCAACCTCAATTGGTATGCAATTTAGTTGAAAAGCTTGAACAATAATTGCACAACTAATTTCAACATTACATTAAATAAAACTTTGTTAATGCCTCGTTATTGACCCTAATTAATTCCCACGTTGCCCTTTTCAAATCTAAGTTAAGTATTGCAAGTAAATATTGAAAATTTAAGTTCTTAATGAAGGGTCGTTAATTTCGCGTGCAGAATATACTTTGCATCAATTTCTTACTCCCATGTCCATAAAATTAGGAATTTGTAATTTCACATTCAACGTACATGGCATTGAAAGAATTGCTTTTATCAGAGAAACTCATTTTTCAAATTGTACACATATGATATGTACGGACATGCAATTCTGTTACAAGGGGGAAAAAAAAAAAAGGGATTTCTTTGGTGATTTTGTCATGCCTAACTACGGAATATATGGATCTGGGTCAAGAGAAGTCGATGTCTAATATATACTAGATTTAGAATAATTCATTTTAATATGGAAAGACATTTCAATGTAGAAAATACGTTTTCTTTCTTTCCGGTAAGGGTATATAACAAAATATTTTAATCTAGGTGAAGGAAGTAAAATGATAAAAGAGAGATTTTCTCTCATGTTATTTAGTAAAAGAGACAAAAAGTGAAAAAAAAAACATCAAATCTAGTTCATTTCACAATAATAAGCCTATACATATATAAATATAATGAATAATTAAAGTTAAAATAATTATTTTACATCTTATTTTTTTGTTAAATTTTTTCCCTCTTCTTTTCTTTTCCAAAGCTATAAGGATTATTATTGGGCCTGTGAATTTTCATTTTCCTTCATTTCTCATTTCTTTTCTACCAAATAATTTAAGATTATATTTTTTTCTCTAAAAAAATATTTTCTTGAATTTCTTTCCTCTCCCTTTTACACTCTACCAAACTCAGTGTTGACAGAAAAGGTATAAAAAAAAAAGACGAAACAAAGATCTTTTTTTGGCCTTGTGCTTTCTTCTAAGCAATAGAAGAAGAGAAACATAAAAGCATCTTCAATACAATACTATAAATGATGTGTCAATTACAAATTTAACATTTGAGTATAAAAAATACTCTATAATACAATGTTATTTGTTGTGTTAAATTTCTCATATGCTATATTTTGTAATAAATTTCCCACTAAGTCTAGCATATGAAAAATTTAACATTTGATTGCTATTGATTGAACATTTCATGTAATAAATGTAACTTTTGCATTTTCTAATTATTTTAAACATAAAAATTTACTTTTACAACTTTCCCGCCAAGTATCCTTTGTGGCAAATTTCCACTAAGTAAACTTTGTAAACTTACTTTGTGATAAATTTCTCGCCAAGTATAGCATATGAGAAATTTGACATTTAATTGTTATTGGTTGAAATGTTTACTTTTTCATGTAATCAATGCAACTTTACATTTTCTAATTATTTTAAACATAAAAGTTTACTTTTAGAACTTTCAAAGCTTAATAATTATGAACAAAAGTAGATTTAACATTTCAAATAGCATTATGCATCAGAACAAAAATGAAAATAACATATTATATAACACCTTTTGATGGTAAATATACAATTGGTATTAACATTTATATTGGAGATGGTCTAAGTCAATGCTTTTTAATCAATGTTTGAATAGTGTATGGAAAAGATCTTTTCCATTTCAAAAGAGTTTTTGAAGATGTTTGAATAAATAAATCAAAAGTACTTTTGTTGTAAAAAGTAGTGATAAAAAATGATATTAGATGAAATATTAAAAAGGTAAATAAATTTTTTTTCATAAGTTATTTTTTTAAAAAGTACTAAGAAGCTAACTTGTTTCAAAATATAAAAGTCAAAAGCACTTTAACATATCCATCTAAACAAACTCAAGAGTAACTTTTGGATTATAAGCTAAAACTACTTTTTTTAAGTCATTCCAAATAGAGTTAGAGCCTTAAGGTACTTTTGAGCTTGTTTGGATGGATACCAAGTGTTTTTGGCATTTATATACTATTTTAAGGGCTTGTTTGAATTTGTTTAAAAAAGTTATTTTTAACTTATTTAGGGCATGTTCTTTTAACTAACTCAAATCACAACTCAAATTTTTTGTTACAGTATTTTCTTTCACAAAAATTCAAATGTAACTTTTTTACTAGTGTTTTCTCTCACATACTAAACTCAAGTTATTAACTCAAGTCCGAGAAAAGAACATGCCTTTAGTCTAAAAGTTGTTTTTTGAACTTGTTTGGATGGATAATCTTAAAATACATTTAACTTTTTTAAGCACTTTTACAACAAGCCATCTCCTTGATGTTATGAAAAAAGTGCTTATGAAAAGCTTTTTTATTTACATTTTTAACTTTTTATTTGTGAACAACAAATTAAATATCTCATTCATATTCTTTTATTATATTTTTTATAATAATAAGTGCTTTTGACTTTTTTATCCAAACATGTTCAAAAGCTTTTTTTAAATATAAAAATATTTTTTCCGATATTATCCAAATACTAATAAAAAAGCTCCAACTTATACTTATCTTCTTTTACTACTTAAAAATATGAGTACAAGTTATCCCAAATAGGCCCTAAAACAAGTCACCTTCTTAGTGCTTACGGAAAAAAAAGCTTATAAAAAAATTTTTATTTACATTTTTAACCTTTTGTTTTGTGAATGAAAAATAAAAAATTTCATTAATATCCTTTATCACGTTATTTTTTTTTTTTTATAACAAGAAGCCTTTTGACTTATTTACCCAAATAAGTTTAAAGTTTTTATCTATATTTTTGTTCTTCTACTACTTGAAAGTAAAAGTATGAGTTCTCTCAAACGGCCCTTTAAGCATGTAAGCATGCAAATAATTAATAGTCTGTTTAGTTCATTGATTCAAGTTTTTAATTTGAGTTGAGATGTGATTTTATGTGAGAGCTTTTTATTATAATAAAAAAATTATATATAAATATTTTTAAGAGTTTTTTTATTATAATAAAACTCAAATTTTAAACTCGAATCGATGAACAAGGCTTTAATATAATCAATCACTAATTACAAATTGACAGGAATAATCGGGTCAAAATCAATGACCCGTTTATTTTGACACACAAATTCACAGGACTCCGTCGCCCAATCTGGATTCAACGGCGTGCGTATAACAACACGCGCCGTAATTAAAGCATGTACATGTAATGAAATTTCAATACGGAAAGCTTATAAAAAAAAATTCAATACGGAAAACAAAAAGGAAAAATAAAAAAATCCTAAAAATTAGCTACAAAATAATCCAGCAAAAATCCCATTTGCCCCCAAAAATTTATTTTAAAACTTCTCTCTCTTACACTGATTCTGACCAATCAACAAAAAAAAAACTCTCCCAAACATAAAAATAATATAAAAAATAAAATAAATCAGAAATGGACTTATTTTAAGCTATAATTAAAGCATTACGCTGCAACTACTACAAAGGTTTTGTTCACTTTATAAATTTAAATTTTTAATTTGAGTTAAAATGTGATATTTTATGAGAATTTTTTATTGTAATAGAAAAAATTAAATGTGACATTTTTTGAGAAATTTTTTACTGTAAAAACTTAAAACTGAAAATTCGAATCGGTGAAATGAACGAGACCAAAAAAGCTCCTAATAATCCATAATAAATGCCATATTAAATAAACAAAAGAAAATAATAAAAAATAATAATTAGTGTTGGTTCTTTTTGAAACCAATATTTTAATAGAGCTGGCAAGAGAGAGAGAGAGAGAGAGAGAGAGAGAGATGAACGGAAAAGTGAAAGGAGAGAAAAAGAGAGAGAAAATAAATCTGCTGAGAAGTAAAGAAAAATGGTAAAGAGAAAAACCAGTATTAGTAGTACTAGTAGTAGAAATAGAAGGGAAGGAAATGTGGGAATGGCGTTCGAGATTCGAGCTTATTCCCGTAGAAAGGGAAACTTCGCCGTACTCCTCATTTTCCTCCTCTTGATTCTCATTCTTCATCGTCTCTAGAGAGAGAAAACAAAAAGATTATTATTTTTATATGATTTTATTATTATATTGATTGATTATATGACATTAAAGAATTAGCAGATGAGGAAAAAAAACTTTGGTTAATTAATCTGTGGAATTTCTTAGCTTAATTATTCCTTTTCTTTTCACTGTTGCTTGTTTCTCACTTCTTCTTCTTCTTGTTCTTCTGCTTCTTGTTCTTGTTCTTCTTCTTCTTTTCTCTCCGTTCGAGCCTTTTCTTCTCATGTTTCCACGGAGATTTGGGCTGTACGGAGCGCCAAAGCGTTGGGGATTAGGGTTTCGTGATCGCCGGTTTTCGGATTTGAATCGCTCTGATGCTCGAATCCGTCGTCAGATTTGCGCTTGACGAATCTGGGATTGGTTAGGGAGTTCTTTTGGAGTTTTTTTCAAACTGTTTTCGTTGTTTTTGATTTTTTTTCCCTTGTTATTTTGATATGTGTTATTGTTGTCGTTGATTAAGGTATTATTGTGATTGTGGATTTGGTTGTAAATAGAGATAGAGTTTTGTGCAATCGTGTAGTGGCGTTGATTTTCCTCCGACGAAGTATTTTGTGGATTCTTGGAGGATTTGTTTCTTATTCCAAAATTTTTACAAAGGAAAAAAGAAAAAAAAAAGAGTAAAAGAAAGTCAAAATCAGTTCTAAACCCATATAACAAACAACACATTTCCAAATCTTAAAAATCGCCCACCGTTTTTATCGTGGGTTTTGTTCTTACAGAAATAATTTTTGGTCTAAAGTTCTTACCAAAGTGTCTGTCCGAGTAATTTGCGTCCGAGGGAAAAGGAAAGTAGATATTTCTTTTTTCATTTTTTTTGGTTGAAAAAGAGAAAAAAAAATACTAAATTTAGGTGGAGAAGGGGAAAAAAGTTCAGTTTTTGAGGAGAAAGAGCTTGGTTTGGGAATTCATTGTTGGGTATTTTTTACATTCTATGGGAATACCTGATACCTCACTATTAGATCTAATAGTAAAGGTTAGGTCTTGGCTTCATTTGGGAGGAGCAAGTGATTTACAGTGTTTTTCCGGCGAATTCGAAATGCCCAATAACAGTAGTAGCAATATGTGTTGTGATTGCCATTCAAACTTCACCAATTTGTGCCATAGATACCATTGCCAAAGTTGTGGTAGGTGGTTTTGTGGGAACTGTATCCTGGGCTCTGAATCACTTGTTGCAACAAAGAGCAATGGCGGTTTGGGTTCGGAGAGTGTCGTCAAGTGTTGCAAGTCTTGCTCTGAGATCAGGGATAGGAAGGAAGTTGGGAGGAAATACAGTGAGAAAGTTCACCCTTCGGCTTCTCCCCGTGGAAGCCCCGAGCCGCCGTCTCCTTGCTTTAATGGTGAAAGAATCAAGTGCCCCGCGGGTAACGAATCGATTCAGAGTGATCATTTTTCACGGTACCTTGATGCCCGGGATTATGGCTATTCTCTCCATGCATTGACAAGCAGGAGTGTGACCTCATTTAGTGCTCACCCGTCTCCTGTATCCGTCCGTCGCCGCTCTTCCAGCAGGTAATCTTTCGTTTAGATTTTGATGTTCGTTTAATAGTATAAAGTTTTGTAATTGGATTCCTTGCATAAATTTACTTTTGACGCTTTTAAAACTGTGCAAAGGCGTAATATATTATTTGTGGTACATGTATGCCTTGTTATGGGATTAGTGTAGTAGTGCTATTGGGAAGTCTACTTAAACTCCTGATTTGTATAACCTTGTTAATATATTTTTTTGTAATTTGTTTGTCTGTTGTCTATTTTTCTCTCCATTGGATGTATTGCTTGCAGCATTTAATATTTATTTATTATTATTTTTTTAATATAGGAGTGATGAAGAGGAGGCAGAGGATTCTGGGAAGCACTTTTTTAGCCTTACAAGTGAATACTGTCATGACAATTCTGATATAGATTCAATTAGTTTTAGTGCTAGACACGAGGATTTTAACTCTCAGTCAGTGGGATCAAGTCCTTACGACAGTCCCTCTAGGAATGATTTTACTTCTTATAGAGGGCTTTCTGTACATAAGAAGGAAAGCCCAGTGTCTCGCTGTGACGGTCACTTTGCTCAAGAGCCTGTTTTAAAAAGGCCTGAGTTAAATTCTGAGGATCCAGATAATACCGATGATTGCTCGGATGACTTGTCAACTTTCCGTAACCAGTATGAGAGGAAACAAAGGCCGCTGGACTTTGAACACAATGGTCTTCTCTGGTATCCCCCACCGCCTGAAGATGAAAATGATGAGGCAGAGGATGGCTTTTTCAGTTATGACGATGACGATGATGATATTGGGGAATCAGGTGCATTGTTCTCGTCAAGTGGAAGCCTTTCTAGCTTGTTTCCAGCAAAGGAGAAACAGAATGAAGGTAACAAGGAGCCTCTTAGAGCCGTGGTCCAGGGGCATTTTAGAGCTCTCGTGTCACAGCTGTTACAAGGGGAAGGTATCAAAATTGGTCAGGAAAATGGAGTTGAGAACTGGCTTGACATAGTTACAACAATAGCCTGGCAAGCTGCAAATTTCGTAAAGCCAGACACAAGCAAAGGAGGCAGCATGGATCCTGGTGATTATGTAAAGGTCAAATGTGTAGCGTCGGGAAATCCAAGTGATAGGTACCATCTCCTTGGAAGTTTTGAGATGCTTATGTCCAAGTACAGTTTTTTTTTTTTTTTTTTTTTTTTTTAAATTTTTTTCCCTACGTAGATATGTTCCTAATATTAATTTCATGAATTTGTTGTGTATGCAGCACCCTTGTAAAGGGAGTAGTTTGTACTAAAAATATAAAGCACAAGCGTATGACCTCACAATACAAAAATCCTAGATTACTAATTTTAGGAGGAGCACTAGAATATCAGAGAGTACCAAATCAGTTGGCTTCTTTTGATACGTTGCTACAGCAGGTTCTTTCTTTGTGTGCTGATCTTTTATTAATTAAGGATTAAAAGTATGGTAATTATTAAAGAACGAATAAAAAGTTTCTGGTTTTCGTTTTTATGTTTCTTTCTGATACAGGAAAATGATCATCTGAAGATGATTATTTCAAAGATTGAAGCGCTTCGGCCAAATGTTCTGTTAGTAGAAAAAAGTGTCTCATCATATGCTCAAGAACATCTATTGACGAAGGAAATTTCATTGGTGCTCAATGTTAAAAAGCCATTACTGGAGTGTATAGCACGGTGCACTGGTGCTCTTATTACACCATCAATTGATAATTTTTCAACAGCCCGATTGGGGCACTGTGAACTATTCCATTTAGAAAAGGTTTATGAAGAACATGAGAGTACCAACCAGTTCAACAAGAAACCATCAAAAACGTTGATGTTTTTTGAAGGGTGTCCAAGGCGATTAGGTTGCACGGTAATGTTTTTCATGTGTGACAAGTTTATGTTTCATTTTCTATGGCGGAAATGTCTTCCAATATTCTTCTCGTGTCTTTTTCATGAGCTGCATTTAATCCACTAATTTGTCTTGTAGGGAAGTTCAAAATGTCATTGTCTCTTAACAAAAATATTGTGGTTTCTCTTGTAGGTTCTGTTGAAGGGCACAAATCGTGAAGAACTAAAGAAGGTTAAAAATGTCATTCAATATGCGGTTTTTGCAGCTTATCATTTATCCCTTGAGACTTCCTTCCTTGCGGACGAGGGTGCTACCCTGCCAAAGATGGTACAGGGACAATCAATAGCTGTCCAAGAGAAGGCAACTGCTGCTCCTGCAATTTCTGTGAGCACCGATTTGATTGCTTCAACTAATTCTGAAGCAGTTCCTGAGGGTTCTGCTCATCATCCAGAAAATGTGGGTCTCAATCCAGAACTCGGACGATGTGAACCTTTCTCTGGGCATTTTAGTCCAGGACATGGTTTTCCTACATCAACTGATCCTGTGGAAGGCGTGGTTGGAAATGTGCTATCCGATGCATGTGATAATGATTTAGCATCCAATATCACTTTAGACTCTTCTTTAGATCAATCCCATGAGAGAAAGGACTCCAATGCACTCTCTGACATTGGAAGTCTTTCCCAACCAGAATCGCAAGTAATATTTTCTCAGGATGAGAGACAACACGAAGAGGTTTACGAGTTGACGAGATCCGAAAGGGTTGATGAAAATGAGGCTTCAAGTGAGTACTTCTCAGCTGCTGACACTCACCAAAGCATATTGGTATCCTTTTCTAGTCATTGTGTGCTGAAAGGAACTGTTTGTGAACGTTCTCGGCTTATGCGCATAAAATTTTACGGCTGTTTTGACAAGCCTCTTGGGAGATACCTCCGTGATGACCTTTTTGACCAGGTAATTTTGTATGGGTTTCCTTTGCCTATTTTTGTGATTCTTGGTTGTAAGGTGAAATTAACAATTAACTTTTTTCCCCCTATTGCCAGACATCGTGCTGTCGATCATGTAAAGAACCAGGTGAAGCCCATGTCTTATGCTATACCCATCAGCAAGGAAATCTTACAATCAATGTCAGGCGTCTTCCAGCTTTAAAGCTTCCTGGGGAACGAGATGGTAAAATATGGATGTGGCACCGTTGCTTGAGGTGTGCACTTATAGATGGAGTTCCACCAGCGACCCGTAGAGTGGTTATGTCAGATGCTGCTTGGGGGCTTTCTTTTGGAAAGTTCTTGGAACTCAGTTTTTCAAACCATGCAACTGCAAATCGCATTGCTAGCTGTGGTCATTCATTGCAAAAGGACTGCCTTCGATACTATGGGTAGCTGCCAAAATTCAATTATCTTTTAATCTTTGAATTGTCAAGTGTAATGTTTGAACAATGAAAACTTTTGTACAGGTTCGGGAACATGGTTGTGTTCTTCCGGTATTCCCCTATTGATATCCTTTCTGTCCATTTGCCACCATCAATGCTTGAATTCAACGGCGATGTTCAACCAGAGTGGTTAAGAAAAGAGGCAACACAGGTTTAGGAAGCGCCTTTTTTATTTTTTATTTTTTATTTTTTAACTTTCTGTTTTGTTTTTGGCAACATTTTTGAAACTACAGCCAGATATGGATCCGATTTTATTTTATTTTTGCAAGTCTGATTATTGTTCTAATAATGAACTGCATGTTGCGTGTTTTACACAGCTTATGAGAAAAATGGAAACCTTATATGCGGAGATATCTGATGTGCTTGATGTTATGGAAGATAAAAGTAAATCTTTTGGGCATGAGTTGTCAGATACAAGCGAGTTACTAAACCACATCATGGAGCTGAAAGATCTCGTGAAGAAGGAAAGAAATGATTACATTGTAAGTAGGAAATTGAGAATAGTTTCATTATTTATCTCTCTTACATGGACCGGAAAATAATGGCCCTAATTTAATTTTCTTGAAAAATAGGCCATGCTGCAACCGGCTATTATGGAGATTTCACAACCAGACCAAATGTCTGTAGACGCCTTGGAACTCAATCGCTTAAGACGTTCTCTTCTAATTGGTTCACATGTCTGGGATCGTCGATTTTATTCACTTGACTCTCTTCTTAAAAGGAATTCACTTTCCAGGTTTTCACAAGGGGATTTATCATTTGCTCAGCCCTTAGAGTTGAAAAGTGATTCGTCGTGTAAGGATGACATTGACCATGGAAATGATGGAAATGTATCTGAATCTTTGAAACTACCCGACTCTCTGGAAAATGATCCACTTTCAGATCACAGAGAGCCTAATATACCACCCTGTGAGCCTTGTGCACCTGAAGACAGCAAACTGATCTCATGTCATCATAGCGGACAGGAGGAAACTCATACAGATGGGGAAATTGCCAAGAATGTGGCGTTGTCTGAAAACACTCCTTCCGATGAAACTACTCTTTCCGAGAGAATAGATTTTGCTTGGACGGGTACTGATCCACTTCCAGTGAAAGCTCAGTTTTGTGTGGATGGGCTTCAAAATGGTCCTATCAGGCAGGCAAGTCAAAGTGATAATCCACCCTTTAGAAGGCTTGCACTTCCAGCGCGAGTTCATTCTTTTGATTCTGCTTTAAGAGTTCAAGAAAGAATCCGGAAAGGATTGCCTCCTTCTTTGCATGTGTCAACACTACGATCTTTCCATGCTTCTGGAGATTACAGGAATATGATCAGAGATCCTGTTTCTAGTGTAATGAGGACTTATTCCCAAGTACTACCACAAGAGGCTCAGAAGTTGAATTTGATTCTTAGTTCCACACCGTCATTTATCTCCTCTGCATCTCATGTGGCTGAGGGCGTCAGGATGTTGCTTCCCCAGACGAGCCAGGAAGATATAGTTGTTGCTGTTTATGACAATGAACCCACCAGCGTAATATCATACGCCTTAAGTTCCAAGGAATATGATGACTGGGTTGCTGATAAGTCAAATGAACAAGAGGTTGGCTGGAGTACTCATGAGAGCAACAAAGAAGATTCTGCAGCTTCTACCTTTTCAGCCTGGCAGTCTTTTGGCTCAATGGACTTGGACTATATCTGCTATGGAAGTGGAACAGAAGATGTTCCATCATCCATGAGTTCCCTATTTACGGATACGAAAAAATCTCCGCATTTGAGGCTTTCGTTTGGGGATGATAAAGTGAAGTTCTCGGTTACGTGTTACTTCGCTGAATTATTCGACTCTCTAAGAAAGAAGTGTTGCCCTAGTGAGGTAGATTTTTTGCGGTCCTTAAGCCGCTGCAAGAGATGGAGTGCACAAGGTGGTAAAAGCAATGTGTACTTTGCCAAGTCGCTAGATGACAGATTCATTGTTAAACAAGTCACAAAGACAGAGTTGGAATCTTTTGAGGAATTTGCACCTGAATATTTTAAATATCTGACACATTCCCTTAACTCGGGAAGTCCAACTTGTCTTGCTAAAATTCTTGGCATATATCAGGTTAGGCCTTATTTTTATCTGCGATGTGTGTTTATTTATGCAATCTTGTACGTGATTAGTTAGATACCCAATATCCTTGTTTTTTCTTGTAGTTCTTATTCTCTTGGTGCATTTCCAGGTCACCACTAAACACCTGAAAGGCGGGAAAGAAACCAAAATGGATTTGATGGTGATGGAGAATCTTTTCTTCAAGAGACGTATCTCAAGGATCTACGATCTAAAGGGTTCTGCCCGATCTCGTTACAATCCCGATACAACTGGGGCGAACAAAGTACTTCTAGACATGAATTTGTTAGAAACATTACGTACAAAGCCCATATTTCTTGGAAGCAAAGCAAAGAGAAGCCTGGAAAGAGCTATTTGGAATGATACAGCCTTTTTGGCGGTAAGCTTCTTTCGCTCTTCTCTGTTATGATTTTCACTTAAAAAAAAAAATTCAACCAATTTCTTTCCTTCTCTGAAACGGGAAGAGAATTTTAAAGTTCTTAATGTTGGTCCGTATTTGCGATACATAAGATAAGATAAAAATCAGAATAAAAAAGTTTGAAAATTTGATGCTTCAAAAAACCATTGATTTTCAGTAGGATAGAAAACACATTTTCCCAGAAGCTACTATTTTTACATCGGAATTTGAATATCTGGTTTTTCATTTTCTATTTCAATATCGTTATCGACCTGTGCCGTGTTTGTGTTCAGTCTGTTGATGTGATGGACTACTCTCTGCTGGTTGGAGTGGATGATGAGAGGAAGGAGCTGGTTTTAGGGATAATTGATTTCATGAGGCAGTACACATGGGACAAGCATTTGGAGACATGGGTTAAGGCCTCAGGAATACTGGGTGGTCCAAAGAATGAATCCCCAACAATTATTTCGCCAATTCAGTACAAAAAAAGGTTTCGCAAGGCAATGACTACATATTTTCTCACTGTACCTGACCAATGGTCTTCATGAACAACGTGCATGATTGCATTCTTTTTGTAGCAAAGCATGTGTTGAATATTACTAATAAATTATATGTAGGGATTATCATCTTTGCCTAAAAAAAAAAAAAAGGAGAATGAGATCCCTTTATTGATTCATTTATAAATATATCTGTTTTTTCATCTCTTTTGTAAATTTTCTAAAGTGAAAGATTTGACCACTTTTGGCTGTACTTTTTCCCTTGTATGCAACTTGCATCTTTCTATGTTTTTTCGTGGACCACGAACTAAAATTCGCTTGTGTAAATTGTGCTTGCATATGCACATACGCAAAGTCGCTTAAAAAGTTTAATCTTAAATGACTTTATCAGTGAACATCTTTTTCCCTCTTTTTTTTTTTTTGTGTGGGTTTATAAAGATAATCACAATTAAGGAGAAGATGTAGTTAGAATAGGTAAGTCTAACAAGATAGAGCCCAAAATCCAAGTACCGCACTAAGGAGATGCGTGAACTATAGAACTATTTTTTCATATAGGCAAAAGGTGGAGGTTGGAAGAGAGATTGCTTCAAAGATTAATGCAAAAAAAAAAAAAAAAAAGGAATAATAATAATAAAGAAAAAAAAAAAGAAAAAAAAAGGGAAAACGAACATATTTCATGAATCATAGGCGAAATTCAAGACATAAACATAATTGAAAGAAAGATTGCTTAGAGTTGGGGGTGTGAGAAAGCGAACCATCAACTTTTTTGCTTTGAAACTTGGTGCTTAGTAGCGAACTAGACTATGTACCACTTGTTTATAGTATCAATTATTTGACGGTTCCATCAAAGCTGAAAGTTTTTGTTTTTTGTTTTTTTTTTGAATAGAGGTAAGTCGTTGGATCTAATCTAAAGAAACTTGATCATTATGCTTAGTAGGAACTATAAAGTAGCCAGTAATTAAGTGTAGTTTACGGATTTATATAATATATACACATACATATATAAGACTTTGTGTAATAGCTTTTCATATGAGCTGAAGTTTTCGTTTCTTCCTTGTAATAGGATAATTCTTGGATAACTTATGCCAAAAAAAAAAAAAAAAAAAAACCTTAATACTAGCCTTGTTTTAAACTGATCATTCTGTCTAAATTTTGTTAATATTAAATACTTTTTCATTTAATGTGATTTTAATCATATCTAATATTAAAAAACATGTACCATCGTTATGTACTCTTACCATAGAAGTTCTACAATGTTACTCTAGTTCATGCCACTTTTCTGTAACTATTTTGCTATACATCCTTATAGTCACTTTCAGCAAAATATTCGGTCGTGAAATGATCATATTATAAGTAAGAAAGCAAGACGGGTTGAAACATGGTTTTCAGTTTATATTCCAAAGCTCACACGCAAAAAAAAAAAAAAAAAAAAAAAAAAAAAAAAAGAGAAAAAAAAAAAAAAAAAAAAAAAAAAAAAAAAAAAGAGGAAAAAAAAAAGGTATACATATGTAGCTGCTAAAATTATCCTCAAAACGGATATATTTTGAACAAAGCTAGCTTATACATATATAGTTATTATTCATATGGTCCATAATTTACAGAAGTAACATCCCAAGCGATTTGGTTGATAAGAAATCTATGCGTGCGGGTAAAAGCATAGATGAATATATATATATATATATATATATATATATGTGTGTGTGTGTGTGTGTGTGTGTGTGTCTGGGGAACCACTTCGCTAGATGCATTGATAAACTTGCTATATATAGATCATAAGAATTAAGCCACAGCTATTTGAATCTCTCCAGCTTCACTGATTGGGCGAAAACTCACTCGTTTCTGCAAAGTTTAACAACATTTTGTTAGTTATATATGAGTACTAAAAGCCTTTCAAATAAATAAATATAAATATATATATATATGTATATATATATAGTCGGCATAATTTCTTTTGAAACAATTCGATGAAGTACTACATATAGAAAAAACTTGAAGTTATTTACAAATGTGCGTGTATATGTATATATTATATATATACTATATATAATGCAACTGAACCTGGCTGGCTTGCCAGCAAAGTTCATTTAATGTATATAACAATTTCCTAACTTTTTCTTTGCATTTTCTTGTGTATTATAGCTAGTTCTCGGCTATCTGACGTTAATATCATTATCAATGCATTTTCATGGGCGAAAAATAATAATTAGTATAAGATTTCAAAATACGTGCATTCACATCTACGATCAATTTGAAAGTTTCAAAGGAATAAATTTTTTCCCTCTAAAAAGAAAAGAACAAAAGTTGTCGTCGCATATGCCAACAAATTAGTTCTTGTTTTGTTATTCTTTTCTTCAAAATCTTATAAAAATTTCTTTCTACTGAATGTCAATGACTTTGTCAAATTAAGAGTAGAAAAAAAAAGTCAAGCCAGATTTAAAAAATAAATAAAATAAAATTATTTGCCTCAGTATCAATTAATAATCTGTTATTAGAAGAATATAACACGTAGATATAAGGAATAAAAAAAAATCCTAATTAAGGACTAAAAAGCTATATTATCCAATCGGGAGTGAATGACTTCAATAAAGTTTTGCAAGGTCGTAGTGTGTGTGTGAAAGTGTTATAATGGCGTGCTTTTGACTATTGGAAAATACTTGGAAGTCATACATGTGTTTTATTATGCCTAGGCGCTATTTGGGCAAGACAAGTACAATTTGTTTTTTCATTCACAAGTGGGGCTTTAGGATATTCTTCTCACCAAGCAAAAAATGGTGGGAAAAGAAACTTGACCATGCCAATGATATTCTTCTCATCAATGATGGTAAAATAATCTGCTTTCATTAATTTGCTTTATAATACGTTTCACATTTTGCCTAGAGTTTTGCAATATTTTGCTCCCGTAACTTACATGGTCCAAGACAAATTTAGAAAAAAAAAAAAAAAAAAAACAATACTAATACTTTACTAAATGAGAAAGACTATAAGGACACAATTAGATTTATACATTTATTCACTTTGTTTATCAACTTTAGCAATTATCAATCGATCCATTTGTTTTTTAGGAGCTAGTTCACATCTGAAGTCTAATATAATCAAATCACATCATATAATAAAGACGTTAGACCTATATACACATGGCAATTTGTGATTGTACAAAAAAATAGGTGTTGTGAAGTACTACTCATTAGTTATTAAAGTTGGGCATGTAAAAAGTAGTTAAAAGTAGTTAATTCTCAAAGTTGGGCATGTCTTTTCAAATAAAAAAAATAAAAATAAAAGTTTGGCATGTGAAATGAAGATGCTTCGATCAACCTCTCCCACAAAGGCTCAAACCGTGATTAATTACCAGCCTATATTGACTAATTACAATTACTACACACACACACACATATATATATATATATATATATATATATATGTATGAAACCTTAAGTCAGCCAATTAGGATACACGGGAATATTAATTGGTGTGGCTACCATTTAACTTCTTCCTAATTTGTTTAAGTAGTGGTGCGGATTGCGGGAGAAAATTGGAAATTAAGAGCAGGAAGAGCGGGGTCAAAAAGTGTGACAAAAATGCGCACACAAAAGTTGTATTAATGATTCTCATAAAGTTCAGATGGAAATATACGGTCTCCAGAATTTTTTAATGGTGATCTCGGAGATGCCTAATTAATGGACTCTGAAAAGTAAAAATGAAAGCAGCACACAAATTTGGCCATAAATCTAAAGGTAATTGATTTTGATTAAAAAAATCATTTACTGTACCCTTGCATAACTTTCAGTTCCGTACACCAAGTGATTTGTGAATGTTATCTTCCCTTAGTCTAATGCCTTAACCCATAACCCTTATCCGAAAATGTGCATCTAAATAGCTAAAAACAAAAAACAAGGGGAAAAAAATAGTGAAACATAATATCCTACCGTAAAAAGCTAGGAGAAGAAAAAAAAAAAAAAAGGGAAAAAAAATGATCATAATAAAGTTTGAGTTGTGATTTAAACTGAAGAAAAAAGAAAAAAAAACGCAGTACCTGATTCGCCTTGACACCATGTCCAACTCCTCCATCAATTCCATCTTTCCAATGCACATGTTGCTTCACCATTCCAAACCCATCTCCCCTACTACTAGTACTACTACTTGCACTTGTTTCGCCATCATTACTATTAATATTTTCATCATTATAAACACCGCCATTCTTCACCAAGCAAAGATCAACAATCTTCTCAGCAGCCTCAGCTTCATCTCTACTCTCCTTCATCAGCCTCTCCACTTCCGCCCTCGGAAGCCTCATCCTCACCCTCACACCACTCCCACCGCCGTTCTCCGACGTCGACTCCTCCGGTAGAACGCTCATCGGCTTCATTATCGAGAGGTCCGACACCGATCTCCTCGCCAGCATCAAGCTCTCCAGCCTGTCCTTGGCGCTCATGTTTATCCCCGACCGAACCCTCCTCGGGTTTTTCTCTTTCGTCACCTTCGGAAGCTCCACAAGGAAATACAACCTCTTTGGCTTCAACTCTTGGTTGGGTTCAAGAGGTCTTGCTCTAGTTCCGTAATGCTTTACGGCTTCGGATTCTAGCAAAACATGGCCTGGATAGTCCTTCACCACTTCACCGGCTTGAATTGGCGTCCTTAGCTTGAATTCTTCTCCGGTTATTTTCATCACTTTTGCGGTTTTTTTGCTTCCTAAAGTGTTGCCCATTTGGTGAAGTGGATTTGTTTAGCGACTAAGAGGGTTTTTTCAATGATTTGAGAAGAAAATAAGGATTATGGTTTTTGTTGTTGGAATAGTAGTAGTAATAGTAATAGTAATAATAATAATAATAATATTAAGTGTTTGTGGTTTTTACCAAACCATAGCTAAAGCGGCTGATCAAGAGGTGATGATATTGATGGTAATGGTGGTGGAAGAGGCAAACATGTTGGTGGGTGCAAGAAAGAGACGTGGTTTTATTGGGTAGATGAGAAGGGCCGTCTCGTTTGGTCAATAAAGAAAGGCAAAAATTTTGAAAATCTTTGGCTCATGTTTTGGAGTTTTGACGAAAACAAGCTAAAAGTACGTAGGAGTATCGCTTTCAACCATATAATAAGGATCGGTAGATTATTATTACATTAATTAATGGAGCTTTCTATAGGGATACGTGTGTGTGCTTTTGAAGGTGAAAATAATGAAGGTTCAAAATCACTTCCAACACACTAGCGGAACCCGAGAAAGATTAATGACGGTTCAAAATAAATCCTACTGATAAAATATATATATGTATATATTTTCTAGTTACAAACTAGTTTTCATTATATTTGTAATACGTGAATTTTAGAGTTCAAATTTGTCAAAAATTGATTTTTTCAAACGATCAGAAATTGTCATAAAAAAAATTAAACTAGTGCATACAAATCTAAGATTGGTTAATCACTAGTTCATGATAAAAATTGGTGGAACGTAATCTATCTAAAATTGATTAAAAACTGGTTGTGATAATTAGTGATGAAACCCATGCATATTTTAACCATTTAATACTCTTTCCAAGAACAAATTTTCATCGTTGAGGCGACTAAATTCCATCATAGAAAGCCCGTGACGAGTGGAACAAAAGATGATTAGGAAATCAGTTTTTGTTTTGTTCAATCCAAAATAGTTTTTACGGTAATCACGGCACGGATATTCAAATTTTTGATGTTGAAGTTCAATAGATTATATGTGAAAATTTTGACTTTGTTCAAATACCAATTACACAACGAAAATCCAACTCCATGTGATTTCTAACGGTTTTTCAATTTTGTACATAAGTACCCTTTGAAGTTCTACTAATTTTCAATCTTCCTGTTGTGGCTGCTTTACTTATACATATATATATATATATATATGTGTGTGTGTGTGTCTTTATTTATATATCTATGTATGTATTCTTCATCTAATTATACATCTAGAGTAAGTCTAAGCTCTCTCAAGGTGTCTAATTAAATACATATCTATATATTTATTAGCAGTTTTTAATTTGAATATTAACCTTATAGTCGTAGAATAACAAGTCAAAAATGATAGTCGGCTCATCATGTTGGAAGCTGTTTGGGTCCTTTTCAAACATTATCTTTGACAAGGAACAGAAAGTTTACTGACTTGGTTAAGATAGACTTCCTTTCCTCAATCCTGGTTTGCTATTACTTATATTCATTTTTAAGCATAAAAATGCAATTCAATTAAGAAAAAGTACTTAAAGCTACAAAACCGCATAGAAAAAGTGATCACGCACTTTCATAGAAAGCGAAAAACTAGCTAATTGTCACATGAGGAAAATATGATATATGCTTAAATCACCATGTTAATAATATTTTAATTGTATGGAAAAGCATGGCAAAAGCAGACGAAACAGCATACCAAATTTGAAAACCTCTTTAGAGTTAAAAAAAAAAAAAAAAAAAAAGGTTGCAAAGCTCAAGGTATAGCATATAAGAGCAATATATATATATATATATATATATATTTATTTATAATATACATACTTTGAAAATGAATATAAGGGCACTATTTTTGGATAATTATTTTTCAAGGGTTTTAATTCAATAACGGCAATTTAAGCAAGTAATCTAAAGCTTGACTCCAATTCCTTCCGCAATATATATCCTTTAACATCTTTTGTTGTACACTTCTCCACGATCTGTTCCTATGCCTTTTTTCTCGTTTAAGTTTGTCTTCTCTTCAATATTCATTATAAGATTTCCTACCTGAGTCTAGCGGCCGTACTAGCCGGTAAATGTAACATTTTATTATTCGTCTGTATAACACTATTTGTATAATCATGTAAAACTCATTCCGTCTAAAGATAACACTTGATAATATGTAATTTACTACCATATTACATAAACTTATTTTAGCATTATCATGATGAAAAATGATACACTTATCGTACGGCCTCCGGACTTATTCCTAAGATTTTAAAGCAGTTGGATTAAAGATTTCAAAACAGAGAAGGGATAAAGACAGAGCAGCCTTCTTTTTTTTTTTTTTTTTTCGTTACTCCCATACGAGAAAAAGAAAAAAAAAAAAGAAAAAAAGATGTTCCCCATTATGCCTTTCGCTTTTGCTTTTAGGTATTGATATTTGAGTTCTGCGTTGGGCTGTAATGAGTTGTGGCATGAACTTTTGAACTCGGTCGTTCTTTTTATCCACACCAACCAAAAGGAGCTGATAATTCAGCATGGAAAAAATATGTTGCATTTTCCAATTAACGTTTTCAGTGCACATTAAGGGACAATACATTAATGTTCAACTTGTATACTTTGAAGAGAAAATATTAATACTAACAAACAATAATATCTCTTGTGCTCAAATCTCATCTCTTATATATATATACACACACACACACACACACGTTGTGTTGTATGATTGATAGAGCCAATTCTTAGAAAACTCTGCCGCAGATTAACGGTCGAAGCCCCACCACTTTGCACCAATGTACTTATCAATCGTTTCTTGAATCATGCAGTACACAATTTTTGGACATTTTCTGCTATCCTTTTTCATATGCGGAATTTTTATAAAGCATATTTCTGCTATCCTTGTAATAGCGATGGTCCTATTATTTTGAGTAAGACTGCATATATATGCATCTTTTTTTTTTTTTTTTTTGAAATGTACATCTTAATTTCGGTTTATTAGCCATTAAATGGGATTTACAAACGGTCTCATCCATTAAAATTTTCGACTTAAAAGCTGAGAAAAAAAAGTAAGGTTTTTAATGGCTGGATCTCTTCTTTTATCATCCATTGGCCGAAAAAGATATGTACATTCCAAATTGTACTTCTCCCCATATAATATTAGCAAATTTCACTTTATTTAACACTGCCATTTGGCCCTACAATAATTAAAACAATGATGAGATACAATCAAGTAAATGGTTTCATATCTATGCATTCCATCTTGCTGCTACCTATTGGTGACACAGAGGTTCTCTATAGTATGAATAATGTAAAAGTTGAAGGCGAAGAAAATAATAATAAAAAAAAATGGTTTAAACAAATTATTTTATTACCTAATCCAACTATCAAGAGGCTGAAAGAAGGGCAACATGTAAATACTCTTTATTGCTAAAATGCTTTTCCTAAGTTCGATAACTAAAGAAACCCTTGTCAGTATAGGTGGGAACATATGAAGAGGAGATCTTTTCACTCGAGAATTCCATTACTTCCACAATACTTTATTTGCGTGTTATTATATGAGATCTTGAATCTATACTCCACCAATTCAACTAATCACCAAGCAACTTTATTGGGATCGTGAACGCAAATCCATCCGTACAATAGGTATTAGGACTCATGGGATAATATATAGACAAATAAAAATCTAACGGCTGTAATTAAGGACAGTTAGCATGTACCTTTTGCAAGGCAAGGGGATCTCAAGCAAGTAGTAACTGCAAATCAATTCACGTTAAGAAAAAGACAGGAAAGAGAAAAACTTTTCCATAAAGAATATTGTAACAAATGAATATTTTACACACTTACAAATGAAGGAAATAAATACATAAAAGTATTGAGATTAGCCTTGTTATCTCATGACGTATTCTCAGTTTCACATCATCAGCAAATGAATACTGTAACATTTTCATTGACAATAGAATCGGGGGAAAAATGATACCAAGTTTCTACGGTAGTACTACCTGTTAAAGCAGCTGTAACTTTCGAAGATGCTCCAACAATGAAGTAGCCTTCCGTTTGCCCCTCTCAGTGCCACTCTTCGCTAGCTCCGTTAAGGGTATGACTGCACCAAGCCTACTTATGCAGGCAAGGTTTTCACCGTCCCTCTTGCATAAGGCGAGCAAAATAGCAGCTGCATTCTCCTTGTTGCGCGGCAAACCAGTCCTCAAAAGATCTATTAAAACAGGTATGGTGCCAGCCTTCACTATGGCAACTTTTGCCTCCTGATGGCTAGCAAGAACTGACATAATAGTCAGAGCTTCGTCGACCATGGAATCGCCTGAATCTGTAAGAATGCTCAGCAATGCTGTTATCACACCAGCCCTTACGGCCCGGCCCTTGTTTCCCTGATAAATGCACAAGTTGAACAGTGCTGTTGCAGCGTCTTTCTTCCCTCGCGTGCTCCCATTTTGGAGCAGATCTACCAAAGCTGGAATTGCACCTGAAGCTCCAATTATTATTTTGTTCTCATCTGCGAGTGACAAACTAAAAAGGGTTGCTGCCGCATTTTCTCTTGCTTCCATACTTCCAGCTCTGAGAACTTGGACAATAGAAGGAATTGCACCAGCAAGCATTATGAGCCCTTTGTTGTCCTCGTATATGGAGAGGTTGAGAATAGAAGTAACTGCATTCTCTTGTGTTAGTACGTCGTCTGACGTTAAAAGGTTGACCAGAATGGGTATAGCACCTGCTTCAGCTATCAATATTCTATTATCTGTGCTTCTTTTGGAGAGTGATCGGATTTCAGTAGCAGCAGCTCTCCGCTCCTCAATGCACCGGCTAGACAACTTGTGGACTAGAGCTTCTATGGCTGCCATATCCCCACTAACATCACGGAATGATCCATCACTTCTCTTCATTTTCCCATTTGTCAATCCCATTGGCTGCTCAATATTGTGCTTAAGACACCACTGACTAATTAGACTTCTCAAAACATAGTTTGGGGTTAGAGTCAAATTTTCAAGCTTTTGCTGAGTTTTCGGACATGTTTTATTTCCACAATCTATCCATCTCTGAATGTAAGATCTCTCGTATGTCTGCAGAACACAAAGGGAGGCAAATCATAAGCATGATAACTGTTGCTTAAAAATGTTCACCTCTATGATTCTCAGGAAAATACCTATTAAAAAAATTATCAAATTGCAGTTCTAAAGAACCATACCTGTCCGGTGGACACAATAACTGGATCTCTCATCAGTTCCAAGGATATAGGGCAGAGATAATCATCAGGAATCACGATAACATCAGACTTCTTCTTTTCAACTGGACCCTTCTTATTTGGGTTCTCTTGCTCGTTATTGTCATCATCATCAGGGTCATTGGTTGAATACAACTCTGGAGTTGAAGAGATCCTTCGAATTTCTGACTTGTGACTTGTTTCATCTCCACTATGGCTCTCCAAGCTGTCACTTCTCAAAACACCATCCATCTTGGCTGCAACTTTATCATCGTTACTACCCCTGTGTTCTGAATGCAAATTATTTATCCTTTTTTCTGATTCTACATGAATTTCTTTTTCCATTGGTTGGGATAAATGGGAAAGCATTTTCTTAGAATTCATAGATCCGTATCTCTCTGTGGCTCTTCTCAATTGCGCTCTCACTAATTCAACCTGATTAATAAGACCAAATCGATAAACACCACAGACAAATAGCAAAAATGACGAACAAAATAATAGTACCCCTGATAAGTATTCAATTCTGACCTGTTCTTGAACTTCCTCGGAAATGTCAAAATGATCATATGGCAAATTGGCCAAAGCTTTCTCCAATTTCCACGTCACGCATTGGAATTGGAAAGCGATCTTCTTAGTAGCTCCATCCTTCAAATCAAGATTTAGCAGACGTGAGAGAGATACCCCAAGATTGCAAATGATCAAGACAGAATTTGGGCAAGTGTTTATTTGACACAGTAATTGATGAGAAAGTCCCCCCCCACGACAAACCATCAAATTAAATTAAAAAAAAAAAAAACCAAAAAAGGTGCAATGAAGCACATAGATATATCTTTCAAGCCCTAGGGCCTAAACCATCCGAGTTTGATTATATCGACTCAGTAAGCTTAAGACGCGAAATTGACCTATCTTAATCAGGTAATTTCAAATATTTTTCAGAAAAAATTTTACAGGCTAAAATGAATGATTTCGGTTACTATCAAACTCGATTCAGATTCTGCAATTAGCATCAGAGATCTAACTATTTGAGATTACGCAGTAAAGACACTCATAAACACAATGCTCTGTTTGGTCCGCCAGAAAAAGAAAAAGAAAAACTCGGAAAATGATAAATGAACTCACAGTAGGTGCATTGCTGGAATTGAAGTTCGCAGCGACCAGGAGGAGGCATTTCGCAGCCTGGAGAGCAACCATCAGATCAGAAGGCCAAGAACTCCTCGGAAAAGAACTCGAAGAAGAAGCCGACGCATCCGACGGTGAAGATTGTCCCTTGAAGTCCCTCATCTCCTCAAACAAATGCGTGAGCAGAGCGATCCGACGGACCAGATCCGTGCAGTCCTTCTTGAAGGGACCGCCGCCAATGGAGACAGCGACGACGTCGTTGGCGAGCTTCAGCAGCTCCGGCATGCGGTCGGCGCCGTCGCCGGAGAGTTCGACGGCCATTATTATAGCCGGCGAATCCGTCTCTGAGCTCTGTGGATTTGTCTGTGAAAATGGTAATGATATTTTTTTGGGGGGTGGGGGGGTGTTTTATTTATTTATTCAATCTTATCATCTTCTTCTTCTTCTGTTTTTATTTTTATTTTTATTGTTGCCTTGCCTTGTTCTGTGTCTGAAACAAAGACACGTTTTGGACAAAACAATGCAGTAGAGAAGTAGTAGTATCCGGTGATGGCCATGGATTGGGCCGGTTTTGTGTTGTGCTTTACACTAATTATTAATGAGCTTTTTTTTTTTTTTTTTTTTTTTTTTTTTTTTTTTGAGAAATAGTAGAAAATAGGCCAATATAAAAGTTTAAAAAAGTGTATAGGTCAATTTTTAGTTATAAAAATTAATAGGCTATAACTTGTCAAGTTATAGTTCATAACCAGATAAGTTATGGATAAACTTGTCAAGTTATGGTTCAAAGCCATACAAGTTATGGACAATTATGAACAATAACTTGTCAAGTTATGGTTCATAACTAGACAAGTTATGGACGAAAACAGTAATTTGACCTATTTATTAACTTATGTAAACTATTGGCCTATTAATTTTAATTCATCTCAAGTCTTAACCTATTTTCCTCTTTCTCTATTTTTTTTGAGCGTTTTGCTTATTATTATATTAATCTTATTTATTATATCTATGCTTGTATGCTTATATTATATATAATATGTATATGTGATTAGTATAATTTAATAATGGAGAAGGGGAAAAGAACGCTGTGTTTGAAATTAATTCCGTTTGTATTTTCTATATTTTTTGAGAAAGAAAAAATAAAAATATTTTTAAAATGATATTTGACGTAATAAAAATAAACAATGAAAATGAAAATAATTTTTTGATTTAGTGTAAAATGATAGAGAAATGATAAACGACTTTTAGTCATTTTTTATTTTTTGTTTTCATTTTCTCCTCTCTCGAACAAAGAGAGAGAGGCATTAATGAGTTTTTTATACTGAAAATAATCTCTTGATAAAACTACCAAATGCATTTCAAAAATGATTTCTGTCTGAGATTAAAAACATTTTCATTTCTATTTTCATACAAAAAATAAAATCATTTTAAAACGAATTCTAAACGCACCCAAAAGATCTTTGAAGGACAGTGTCACACCGATAGAGGACTTTTTATCTTTTAATAGAGTCAAAATCACATTGAAATAAAAAAAGTATGGATAATAGATAATATCTTATACAAATTTAAGTACCATTATCATATGATGTATAGAATTTCTAGAGCGGTGCCTTCGTTTTTGGATAAATCCTATTAAATAAGTACTCAATATTAAAAAAATAAATAAATAATTTCTCTCCAAGCACTTGAGATGATTTTTTGATGTTCTTTCTACCCTCTGTCTAAAAATATATTAAAATGAAAAGTAATTAATATTTTTTCTCATAAAAATATGTTATCCGCAGAAAAAGGCACAAAATGTTTTTTTTTGTTATTTTTAGAATTTAAATATTAAAAAAATTTTAAAATGTGTTTTAAATGGCGTAAAAGATATTTCAAGTCACAGATATTCGAAAAGTTTTTTTTTTTTTTTTTTTTTGAGAATTGAAAAGTATTTTTGTAAAGTATTTAGTATAGTATCATCCAAGCATTGACGATTATTCACTAATTGGGTATGTTGATGTTATATATTTTTTGTTCATGAATAAATATGAGATGAATAGGCAGAGAGAATCCCGGGGAAAAGAAAGGAAGAAAAGAAAAAACAAGGGGATACAGTTGGACATGGAATATTATGATTAGTTTTACAACTCTATTACAACCCACGAAACGAGGCCAACCAAACTTTCTTTCTTTTTTTTTTTAATTCTCTCTCTCTCATCGACCATATAATTATACTTTTTTAAGCCACTACTATCGCAATGCTCTCCTTGCTTGGGAGCCAGCCTGTACACTCCTTATTCTTTCTCTTTTCAAAAATTGTGCCCCGATTCTCTTCTCTTCACACCCACACACATACAACATACTATAGGTGTTTTGTGAATTGTTCTTTAATTATTAGTTTTCAGAAATATTAGCAAATAGATCAATATAAAAAATTTAAAAAAGTATATAGGCTAAATTTTAATTATAAAAATTAATAAGTTATAACTTGTTAAGTTATGGTTCATAACTAGATAAGTTATGGACAAACTTGTCAAGTTATGGTTCATAACTAGACAAGTTATAGATAAAAATTGTGAATTATGGACAATAACTTGTCAAGTTATGGTTCATAACCAGACAAGTTATGGACAAAAACAATAATTTAGCCTATTTATTAACTTATGTAAACTATTGATATATTAATCTTAATTCATCTCAAGTCTTGACCTATTTCTCTCTTTCTCCTTTTTATTTTTTACTCTTTTAATTAGACGTGATCTGATATTCAAAATCGTCTATATGTTTTAGAAACCGTCATGTTATACGTCTATTGTTGTTCGTGCTACTAGTTCACCGGCGGTGTGGGTTCTTGAATTTCTATTATCTCTTAGGGGTTGTTCGGTTGCTGTAACTCACTCAAGAAAAGTCCACTCGAGTGATGATTTTGGCCCAAAACGCGTTCGACGCAGCTATTTCTCGAAACCAAACTCGAACATTAATTCGAGTTACCTTCCCCTTCCTGAGTTCATCTTCACCCCTGCAACTCGAGTTAACTTCCCTGCACTCCTACAATGGTACAATGCTCGAACTTTCTCCTTTTTTGTTTCTTTTGTTTCTATTCTCTCATAGCCCGATCCTGTTCAATTTCCTTGAGAAAGAAAGAGAAATTTGAAAAAAATGTCAAGAGTCGCAAAATTCCCAGTCACGGCACGAGCCCGCTTGGCCGTGCTTTCGGCTCACCTCGCCAGCGCGTCGCTCGAGCCAACTGAGCTCTTCAGCTCCGCCGCTCTCGAGCCGAACTGCATCTCGGCTCAGACCTTCGTCCCGCCACCGCCGAACCTTAAGGGCTCCTTGACCGTCGTCGATGAGCGTACGGGTCGGAGTTACCAGGTCTAGGTCTTTGACAAAGGCACCGTCAAAGCCACCAATCTCAAGAAGGTTTTATTTTTCCGCCATAACCGACCAAATTCGACATGTTTTTTTCTTTTTTTTTTGAAAAAAAAACTCCGATCTTTGGTGTTTTATGTGGAATTGAAGAATCGCGATTGTGAGTTTTGCAGATAATGACAGGAAGGAATGACAAGGGGCTAAAGCTCTACAATCCTGGGTATCTGAACACAACACCTGTTCAGTCGTTGATTTGTTAGAATTGTATTGAGAAGGTATGAATATGAATTAGATGGACGAATGGATTGTGCCCGGAAGAGAAGATTTTTTGGGCTTTTTTTTCTCTTTTCAATTTTACCTTCCAATAAGGTGGAATTGTATTGAAGATCTTATTGTGCATTTGAGAAGAAGACATGTGATGTTTTTCTTCTGGATTTTGGTATTTTGCTGAGATATGGTGTATTTGAGAGGACAAGGGATGAGCAGAGAGCGTGAAGAAGAAGGTCTGGTTTGGAGCTAAGGATTTATGTATTTTTTAAAATTACCATATTACCCAATAATTATTTACAAGTAATTCTAATTATTCATATTCAATTATAAAAAATATAATAAATTTGAAAAATTAAAAAAATTTGTAAAAGAATTGAATAAAATTAAAAAAGGAAAAAAAAATTATATCCACTATTCACAACTCAAGTTTTACCATAAACAAATACAAACTTAAAAAGATTCTCATATCAAATCATAACTCAAGTATACACAATCAAACGCAAACTCAAATTACAACTTCAACTCAAGTTATAACTCAAACTCAACTCAAAAACTTAACTCAAGAATACTTATAAAAGGACAAGCCCTTAAATACTCTGAGGATATTTGCTACACTCCTCATTTGAAGAACGGCAGTCTGGTAAATTTTTTTTTTTTTTTTTTTCCAGTTGATTTTGTTGACATGCATTCAATGCCTCTATTTGTAGGGCCTTTTATAAAGTTGGATGCTTTGGATTTGAATTAATGAATTTAACTTCACTTTATTAAAAAAAAAAAAAACCATCGTCATGAAATTTCTCTTTCTCAAACAAAAAAAAATGAAATTTCTACTAAATTTATCTTCTTTCTCCTTTCAAACAAAAAAAAAATCTTCTTTCTTTATAAATTTATAGGGGACACAATGAAAGTTCGATTTTATAATTGTGGACACGATGTCGAGAATATTTTGTTATTAATTTTTGTGTATTGAAGTCCTCGAGTATATATTATTCTCTCTCTTTCATCGACTTCTCTTATACCGGAAAAAAGATAATAGAAAGAATTCTTTAAATAAAAATGATTACGGAGAAAATTAATAGTAATGGGATACAAATGAGAATAAAACATAGCAAAAAAAACAAAAACAAAAAAAAAAGCTTTTTTATTATGTATTAATGTTTTTGTGTTAGTTGGAGCAATATAAAACGAACAAGTTTGTTGGTAGTTTAGTCCGAATACTGGTGGGGGTTTCTTACTCAATAATTGTGATATAATATAATTTTAGTGGGAAACTTCCATATAATTTGAAAAACATATCATTTTATTTCATCAAATTTAGAATAAACTTTGAAAACAATGATATTCAATAAAATAATAGTATTATCTTATAATAAAACATAACCATATATGTTGTTGTTACTGCCACAACTATCATTGTCATCGTTTCAACACACACACACACAAATATATATATATATATTTGTTCATTAACTCGTATCGTGATTTTTTTTTTTTTTTTAAGGAACTCGTATCGTGATTTTGTCTTTAAATTTTTCCAGAGTTCTTTAATAATCTTTTATTATTTTTATTTTTATTTTTTTTGAACGGTCTGTATCTTTTATTTTTGGTCATATAAAACTTGAAAAACAGATTAATACTAATAATTACCAACATTTTGTGTTCAAAGACATGATGGAAAATAAACAGCACATACACGTATATACGTTAGACATGACACTCCATGGACCATAACGTGCGCACATGTTCAAAAGGAATATTTATCAACAAGTACCCGTGGTTAATTTTTATGGGGAAAATCCATTAGATAAACTTAAATTTATCAAGAGAACCGACCATATACGAATTAGGTATAATATATAAGGGTGTAGTTTTAATGGTTATTGTAATATTT